TAGAGAAACTGGTGGATAAGTTTATTAGACAGGAATGTCTTAGAGATTTTCCCCTACATCAGGGACAGCATGCATATAGAGCAGGCTTCTCAGTAGAAACAGCCCTCCATTCGGCAGTAGGTAGAATAGAGGGACAAATTAGCAGTGGTGGTTATGCGGTTGGTACCTTTCTTGATATCGAAGGTGCCTTCCCTAACACCTCTAGCAAAACTATCTGCAGGGCAGCCAGAATGCGAGGTGTGCCCGAGCCGCTAGTTAAGTGGATCGACAGCATGCTTCGCGAAAGGGCCCTGGAGGCAGAGTATGGTGAGGCCAAGGTAACCGGCCTTGTCTCAAAAGGGTGCCCACAGGGAGGAGTTCTCTCTCCTTTATTGTGGTGCTTAGTGGCAGATGAGTTAATTAGAAACCTCAATAGCCAGGGATATTATACGCAAAGTTATGCGGATGATTTCCTTATAATTATAAGAGGGCACTCAATTGAGACCCTCTTAGAACTTACGGAACGTGCGCTTAAGATTGTCAAGGATTGGTGCAATCTGACTGGACTTTCTGTAAACCCAGAGAAAACGAATATAGTAGTTTTCACAAGAAAATATAAGGTACCGAGTTTGAAGAAACCGATATTTTATGGAAAAGAGATTTCCTTTTCAGAATCGGCTAAGTATCTGGGAGTAATCCTGGATAAAAAGCTGGTTTGGAGGGAACATTTCGAATATCAGTATAGCAGGTTTTGTACCGCGTTTTGGGCGTGTAGAAGGGCGATAGGGTCATCATGGGGACTAAGGCCTAATATGGTCAACTGGCTCTATCAGATGATCTTAAAACCAAGGTTTCTTCACGCAGTGGTTGTCTGGTGGTCCAGGACTCAACTGATAACGGTTAAAGAGAAACTGGGCCAACTGCAAGCAATGATTTTCAGGGGTATTACGGGGGCAATGAGGACCACGCCAACAGCTGCGTTGGGATTCATGCTTGCCGAGGCACCTCTGCATATTGCCGCGGTGAAAAAGGCGGCTCTTACTATGAGCAGGTTAACTGCGCAGGGAAGGTGGAAGGTTGGTGGTATACACACCAAGCTTCCACGCTCAATTCTATCAATACCAGAATTAAGTATGGTGCAAGATAGAATGATCAAGAGGGTGAAATTTAAACCCCGCTTTAAGATCATTACACCTTCCAGAATGGACTGGAAGAAAGGTTTTCCACTTGGGGACGAAGTCTGGTATACAGACGGCTCCAAGATGGACTGCGGTGCAGGCTTCGGAATTTATCGGAAAACTGGCTGCATTAAAGTGGCTGAGTCATTAGGACAACATGCCACGGTCTGGCAGGCAGAGGTCTGTGCGATTTTAACTTGCGCCCAAATATCCATTCGAAATGGAACAAAGGGCAAGAGGATTAGTATTTGTGTGGACAGTCAAGCGGCCTTAGGGGCTCTGAAAAATCCCACAATAGAATCAAAACTCGTCTGGGAATGCCGCAGCGTACTAGATGAGTTGGGTTCAACAAATAAACTTTCATTGATTTGGGTACCGGGTCACTCGGGAATCAAGGGTAATGAAAGAGTAGACGTCTTGGCGAAAACCGGTTCCGAGACGAAATTTATAGGTCCTGAACCAGCAGTGGCAATAATGCCATGCTTGGTTAAGGGAGCCATAGAAAGATGGGGTGAAAAGGAACATGAGAAGTATTGGGCGAACGTTGGGGTGGGAAGGCAAGCGAAAACTCTGTTGGGGTTAGCACTCAACAAGAGGCGAGCGAGCGATCTCCTAAAACTCGATAAGATCAGAGTTAGAACCGTAGTTCGTCTACTTACGGGTCATGGACTATTGAACTACCATCAGCATAAAATAGGCAGACAAGTTTCACCTATGTGCAGACTGTGTGGGGAAAGTAACGAAACTTCAACTCACATATTATCTGAATGCCCAGCGTTAGCTAGGATCAGGCTATCTAGCTGGGGTCAAGCAATTATTGACCCTAAGCAGGTGAGCAACCTATCGATAGAAGAGATACTGGACTTCTGGAGAAGAACAGGACTCTAAGGGGTTGCTATAAACGAGCGAGCTGGAGTCTGGTACAATGGGTTCTATAACCTAGGTGCTTACTTTCCCCTCTTGAGGAAAATCCAGCTCGATCTCGGTATTAGATTAGATTAGATTAGATTAGACCCATATCCGAATCAAAATAAAAGTATTTTTTAATTTTGTTTTAATTCCGTGACGGTCCCTGGATTGAATTTAATCATATTTTTTTGTATATTATATTGATCCAGTAACTTTTAGACATATTTTGTAATATAATTAACTTCAGAAAAGAGAAAAATATTTTATTTATGATGAAAATTGTCTTCTAACTCATGGCGGGAAATTTAAATAAAATAATAATAATATTATTATTTATTAATTTTTATTAATTGTTTCATAAAATTAATTATCAATACTATTAAATATTACTTAATTAATAAGCAATAATTAATATATAATAATATTATTATTACTTTATTTGAATTTCCCGCCACATTTTGAAAAAAGTCGGCCTGAGAGTACAGCCAGCGCCACAGTAGTCGCCGTTCAATATTTGACCCATTTCTAACTTGAAGTGTCACAGGGCTGGTCAAAACATTGGTTGCGGCCATATTGGATCGGTGGCTTAAGGCCAACGCAGAATAGATCTGTAACCGGAACCGCAATCGTAACCGTAAGCGTAAGAATGAGTTAGAGAAGGATAAACAATATACCTATCCTTCTTTAACTCATTCTTACGGTTACGCTTACGATTGCGGTTCCGGTTACAGATCTATTCTGCGTTGGCCTGTAACATCGGCTCGTACGCAGCGCTCATGTGGCGCCGCGTGTAACTAATTACCGACGGTTCAGAGACAGTTATCGACGAGTGATAATTGACTAACGAACTTTAGCTTAATAATTCCTCTGGGACTCACCTCGAAACTAAACGAAGCGCGGAGAAAGCGACGCGTTCGTGGCTAGGCAGGGTTGCGCAGTTACGCGTAACTCGAGGTTTTCTACGTATGTTGCATGAGGTAACATACGTATGTTACCCCCCACTCTCGAAAAATACATGGATGTAACAATGTAAGGACGTAACATACTAGGTAACATACAGTAACAAACCCAGGTAACATACATGAAGTATGTTACGTACCCATCCCTGTGGCTAGGAAGACGGCCATTTTTTGATAGGCATTCTCGTTCTGGCTGTCATAGTGTGTGCGTCACAATTGTGATATTTTAAATAAAATAAAAGTAAAATAATTTTGTGTCAAAAATGAGTCGTGGGTCGCTCCGAGGCAGACGTCGAATCGACGGTGAGTCCCCTTAATATTTGAATGAGCTGTTCCTCTGACCAGACTCAAGTCTAATTGTCATAACAGTAAAATCGAGTCTTGTTTAGGCGCCTTGCCGCCAAATAATGTTAACAACTTTTGATCAAGTAATAAAAATAAATCAGTGTTGTTCATTGATCATCCTTACTCCCACCCTCTCCGCGGTTATGAGTAATTTAATTAACGATAAATGAGCAGTCGGCATAATATGTTAATCTCTTGGTTTGGTCATTCCGTGTCAAAATGGCCTGGGGCCATGGGCAAATCCATACTCTATGAATAATCAAAATAGATTTTGTCTCTGAACCAAATTTAATCTCTTTGTTTTTGAAAAAAAAAAAAATAATTCCAAATTAAAAATAATTAAATTAAAATTCAATTAAAAATTATAAATTAACTTAATATTAGTAAAAACGTGTTACAGTGGTTACAGCCTGAACTAAAATCATAATTTTTAAATAATTTAAAATCTGTTTTTTAAACAATTTTAGTTGCAAAATAAGGGTTAAAAAGTAAAAAGTCTGCCATTTTGTTATTTTTCAATGAAAATTTTTTATTATAGTTCAGGCTGTAATCACTCACCTATATTTTAATAATCCGTTTGAATTTTTTGATTCCGTCTGTTCTGCCTGGAGATATCATGTCAACCAGATTTTCGAGTTTTTTTTACAGTCGCCATTTCTTCGCTATTAACAAAAAAAATATAGAAAGAAATTTTTTTTATTTAGTTTAATATGTGTAATAATATCTATGTAAAAATTTTAAAATGTTTAGATAAATTTCACTATGAAAAAAAAATTCTTTAAAATACGTGCAAAAGACCCAGACTGCCCCCTTAAGAGCCTACAACTTAGAAATTTGACTTTCTAACAAAAAATGTTGTAGAGAAAAATTGTTTGTATTTGCCTAATCTAAAATAATATAAAGTTAGAAATTTGAAAATTTAAAAAAATTGAGTTTTCAAAATTTTGAAACTACAGTCAGGTCTCGCAAAATGTCGTTTTCAGTAAGTGTCGTTTACTTATTTGCCTCACAAAGTGTTGTCGTTCAAGAACCCGACAAGTGACACTGTCCCCACTTTTTTTTACCCTCTCCAATGCGAAAAATCGACTTTGCCAAAACAGAAACCAAGGAAATGACAACTTTTACTGAAGGGGCATGGCTTAGGCTAATGACACTTACTGAGACAGACGGTCCCAAAAAATTTCCAGTGACGACACTTAGCGAGACCTGACTGTATACTTTAGTTTTTGTATTTTTCAACGAAAATGTCTGGATAACGAACTTAGTCTTCATTTTTACACTAACTTTAAGTGAGTTAAATTTAAAAACGATACGATAAGTTTTTTAAAAGTTTTCATGGGAACAACATTTTGTGTCTACAGACAGACAGACACCATCGCCAAACCATGTTTTTTGGGTTCAGGGGACACCAAAACGTGAAGATTTCATAAAATTAGCAAAAGTCAAAATTCGCACAAAACTAATATCTTCTCATATGAAGAGAATGTAAAAATACCGTGCGTGCAAATTTTTTTAATGTACTATTTTATGACATTTTAATGTTAAGATAAAATTGATTTTCAAAAAATGCGCATGATGCATGTGTTGCTTTCTTAGTGGTTAACAGAATATAAATTAAAACAAAAAATTTGCAATTAAAATATTTCAAAACGGCGCATTTTTTCTTAGTACGTGGAATTTCAGCTGCATGAGAAGTTAAAGTATTTTTTAATATAATAAATTTTAAATTGCTTTCCTTCGTAAAAGTAATCAAAAAATGAATAGAATTGCATTTCAGTAAGTGTATTTATAGCAAAGTTGTTGCCTACTTTTAAATTCAATTCGATTATTAGTCGAAATTTTTTTATAGATTAGCACTCTTGTCTTCACTATTGTTTCCATCTGGGTTTGTATTATGGAAAATATTACAGGTAGATTGTGAATTTTTTAGAAAAAAATTTTTATATTATTGAATTATAATAACTGTTTTTGTAGCCCAACCAGAAAAATGATACCACTTCAACAGCAACTAAGGTTGGAATTTTTTATCTTTAATATAAGAATTATTATGTTTCTGATTATAAATTGCATCTTTTTCTATTGGCTTTTTTTCTTTGCAAATACTTTAGCATATATACATATTATAAACGCAATTTTTGAATTTGGAAAATCTAACATCAGATTTGTAATCTACGATCGAAGAAACCTCCGAGTAATAAGTTTTAAGCAAATCTGTTGAGCTTATAAAAAATGATCCGCCATGTTAGTTCGGCCATTTTGAATTTTGTAATTTTAACTTCAAAACGTAATCGTCACTATATCTACAACGAAAAAAATCTCGATGGTATTATTAACTATGACCCTATAGTTAATCTTAACCTAGTAAAAGTAATAAGGATTCCTAATCATTATGGTTAGGATCGCTAGGTTGATTCAACAAATCCAAGCCTGGCAACCCAGTAATGAGGGGTGAATTAAAGTGGATTGGTACTTTCATGCCCTTAAATTCCAAACCAATTCCGTTTTTGTCCACAATCGTAATAAATTCCTTTTCTATTGTTAAGTTGATAATTTCTATCCAATTCAATTCTTTGTAACCACGTGACCAGAATCTGAATTCACTTTAATGCTGTTTAAGGGAATCATTTGTTGTGGAGTTAATGCCTTTTAATTAACATTGAATTCTTTAAAGGGCACACCGAAAAAATCTCGATGGTATTATTAACTATGACCCTATAGTTAATCTTAATCTAGTAAAAGTAATAAGGATTCCTAATCATTATGGTTGGGATCGCTAGGTTGATTCAACAAATTCAAGCCTGGCAAAAACAACCCTGCAAATCCTAGTCAAATTGACTAGGATTTTAGTAATTTTGCCTATTTCCATAATGCGCACGCGTCTGCTTTTGTTCTGACAGTGTTTACCTCTATATCTTTCGCGTCATTTATCGTGATTTCGTAAAACGGTTGTTTATCATTACTCGCGTCTATTTTTTGTACATAAAATGGAGTTCTTACATATATCAAAATTGCTGGTTTCTCGGAACCTCTGGAAATATAGATAGTCCATGTTTTAGAAATTAAACTATTTAATTATATTAGTCAATTCTTCCAGACTTTTTTGGTTAGGTTTCAATATAAATCGTCGAAATTTTTACGCACGTGGTGACAACATTTTTACTATTTTAATCGCGCAGTGTGTTTGAAAATTTACCTTTGCAATAATTTGTGTATTTAAATTTATTTTCATTTAAATGGCATAAATAATTAAAAATTAATAGTTTTTGCCAAGTAGATAAAATTGTGTACTTGAAAGATATAAAACATCATCTGATTAAGTATTGTATTTTGACTCGAAAATCTAGTATGTCTATTAAAAAGTTAAAATACCAAGTCGTGTTTAGTGTCGTGGTTATCGTTCAGGATTTCAAAGTGCGTATTCATTAGGTTCAGGTGTTCGCCCCCCCTCGTCAAATATTTATTTCATAAGTTTAAATTAATTCCAAGGTATATAAATGCAAAGCAAAATATACACTGAAAAAAATTTCTGGCACCCGTATACCAGGAATTGACTAGTTTGCCTGGTTACGAGAGGCATCCGTTAGGACAACCTAGTTAAAAGACTAAGGTCAAGCATATAATAGTCAGAGTGACTAGAAAATTAGTTAATGTGGATAAGAAAAATAGTCAAATTGACTAGGATTCTTAATCGAATTTCTATTATCCGATAACAAACAAAAAGTAAAGATTAAATAAAAAAAATAAATAATATTGCTTAGAACACATTCATATAACACATTCGTATATATAACACCTTATATGTATACGTCTTAGAATTAACACGGGGGGACGCGAACACCTAACACTAACGCATACGCACATTGAAAACCCGGAACGCTAACCACTACACTAAACACGCACGTGTTGCACTAAATTTTTTATCAGATATTAGAATTTCCAGTCAAAATGTAATATTTAATCAGATATTTTATTTATTTGAAAATACACAATTTTACTTGCTCATCAAGAACTATTGCTTTTTATTTATTTATGACATTTATACGTCATTAGTAATTATTAAAAAATTAACAAACAATAAATGTTAACATTAAAATGCAAGCATTATTATAACGGTACAACACTTAAGCACAGTTATTAAAATACTAAAAAAATTTGATTCCACTTGTGTGAAATTTCAGGCTTTTCAGGTTAGCTATAAAGTTTGAACGAATTAAATTATCAAATGTATAATAGCTTAATTTTAATTATCTGTTTCGATTTACTCAATGAAAACGGCAAATGTGAAATACGCAGAAAATATATCTTTTGCACAAAAAATAACTAAAATTTTCAAAATAACTAATTATCCTAGTTGATTTGACCAGGGAATGCAGAGTTACATTTACATAAAGATTGAATTTATGGAATTGATCAGGGAAACTGGTTGAATTTACTGGGAATCCTAATTAACTTTACTAGGTTAAGATTAACCCTGAGTTTATAGTTAATAATATACCATAAAGATTTTTTTTAATGTAAATATGTTTAATAAAATAATTAATAATAATAATAACACAGCCACACAAAAAAAAAGTTCTGATCTGGGGGTCTCACTATGTAGACTTTATGTTTTTTGGGTCGCTGAATCCGAATCCGAGGTCCATTTAACCTCATCAGATCAGGATTTTGAGATAACCTCAAAAAACCAATATGGCGGACACATTTTTGAAAAGTTCATTGGATTCGCTTGAAACTCGTTACTCGGAGGTTTTTGGGGTCGCTGATTACGAATTTGAAGTCTGATTTCAAAAATTCAAAATGGCGGATCCAATATGTCTGTGTCAGCCATATTGGATCCGCCATTTTGAATATTGAAAAACCGACATCAGATTCGTAATCAGCGACCCCAAAAACCCCAGAGTAACGAATTTCAAGCGAATCCGATGAATTTTTCAAAAACGTGTCCGCCATAGTGGATCCGCCATTTTGAATTTTTGAAATCAGACTTCAAATTCGTAATCAGCGACCCCAAAAACCCCCGAGTAACGAATTTCAAGCGAATCCAATGAACTTTTCAAAAATGTGTCCGCCATATTGGGTTTTTGAGGTTATGTCAAAATCCTGATCTGATGGGGTTAAATGGATTTCGGATTCGGATTCAGCGACCCAAAAACCATAAAGTCTACATAGTGAGACCCCCAGATCAGAACTTTTTTTTCTGTGTGGCTGTGTAATTAATTAATAATTTGACAAAATAATTAATTATATTTACTTTTTCTCTTTTATTGGATAATAAGAATTTGATTAAGAATTCCAAATAATTATGATACACAGTGTAAATCTAATATTATTATCCTAGCCAATTTGACTATTTTTCCTGATTACATCGACTAATTTTCCTGGTCACTTTAACTATGCTTATTACTTTGACTAGGATTCCATAGTGGGTTCCTATCGTAACTAGGAAACCTAGTCAATTCCTGGTATACGGGTCCTAGGCATTTTTTTCGGTGTTGACACAAGAAAATAAATTTCTTCCAATAAGAAAATATGGGTTTGTTTCAAGTAAATTAGGTTAAGAAAATGCATTTACTTGATTCAATGAACTTTTTTTTCAGTGTATGTTCAAATACAGTAATTAATTTTTTTCTTTTTTCTTTTAATTAGTTTTTCTCTTTTATTTGATAATAAGAATTTTATTAGCAACTTCAAATAATTATGATACACAGTGTAAATCTAATATTATTCTCCTAGTCATTTTTGATTAATTTTCCTGGTCACTTTAACTATGCTTGAATTTTATTACTTTGACTAAGGGTGAAGTCCCATGGCAGCGTTTTGCATTGCGTTTTGTAACTAGGCCATAAGTGTGAGAGAGATGAAGATATATGTTCGCTATATTTGTACTCATCGCCTAGTTACAAAACGCAATGCAAAACGGTGACATGGGACTGCACCCTAACTAGGAAACCTAGTTAATTCCTGGTATACGTGTCCTAGGCATTTTTTTCGGTGAAGAAATAGGATTTTTTATTATTATGAAGAAAACAAGTAATATTCTGCCCCACACTATGCTTATTAAAACAAAATGTAATGTTTCCAAGTTATTGTAAACAATTTAACAATCTATCCTATTGAAAATTACTCTAGAATAACTGCTGAAAAAGATCCCACACTTGTCAAATTAAATGCATTATCCCAAAAAGTTTGGTAAGCACTTTAATTTCGATAAATATTCATATTTTTTTTGTTTAAAACTTTAAAGTTGTATAACTTTAAGGGGGATCCCTCATCAGAAGTGTGCAAAATATGTCAAAATTCAACATTTTTTTCTCGTTTATTTTATTATAAAAGTTAAAAAGCCTTTTTGCATAATAAAAAGTATAATTTAAAGTATAAAAAACAATAAACAAAATTTTATTTTTTATATTATGTTAGGCTGTACCCAGGTGCGATTTTTTGGTCGGCCCATAGTTGGGCTAACTTTTACAAAGTCGGTCCAACTTCTCGTGTCAGAGGTTGGGCCAACCATACAGATGATAACGGTCGCCGTCTAATGGCGACGATGGTTGGCCCGACAACTCATAAGGAAGTTGGCCCAACTTACAATGCATATGTTGTGTCAACTATACATTTCAATGGTTGGTCCAAAGACTGACGCCAAAGTTTGCACAACTTTAGATGCGTAAGTTGGGCCAACCACAATTTTCAAAGTTTGGCCAACTTCAACAGCCAAAGGTAAAAAATTATTAAAAAACTACATTATTTAAACAATTAACACGTTATTATTAGCGGGAACATCAGATATAACCTTTACCTATTATTATTAAACACAATCTCATACATACATTTTTGAAAATATCTAACGCTCGCTGGGATCGAACCCCTAACCTAACGCACCAAAGACTTATACACTGACCACTACGCTACGCTCACATGGGAGTGCATAACGCAAAATGTATATTAAAGCTGCAACAGTCGGGCCAACCGTGGCCCAGAGTTCGGCCGACCAAGAAAGTTTAAGTCATTTAAAC